CTATATGACTTAAAGACAAGAGGATCTCCCAGTGTCTCAAACCCAAAACAAAGTAAAACTGGATTCAACTAAACAAGCGGGTCATGTTTGCTTCCATTATATGGAGCTCTCAAGAAAGGAATGAAAGTGTCTGTTGTTCTATTGCTCTCTTACCTCAGAAAAAAATACTCCGAAAAACAGAAAAAATATCACCACAAAAAACAGAAAAAATATCACCACAAAAAACAGAAAAAATATCACCACAAAAAACAGAAAAAATATCACCACGAAAAACAGAAAAAAAATATCACACAAAGCAAGGACATGAGATGTGATGTCAGTCTGTACCCGATCCTCCGTCAGACCTACTAACACCTCTCTTACACTGTCTATCCCTCTCTGTGTCCTCAGTGCCTCTTCATCAAAACAAGAGCGATACTTCTTGGGAGCTGCAGAACTAATATACGGATAAAGACTCATTTGTATGGGTTTAATATTGAAAGTGTGCATGAAATCAAATTCCTTGGGGTGACAACAGATGACCACATCTGATGGAAATCACACATGAAGCATGTACACACCAAAGAATCAGAAAGTATCACAGACACGGTCTGATATCAAATTCAAATATTGTGTTTTGCTGCAGGAAAATGCATGGCCACGGGACTAGAAATAATTGTTCCTGATGTTACTGCGATGTTCTGCTACACGAGTCTACAAAGATCTTGTAGTTTTACCTACGTAATCTACATGGACACTTCAACATGCATATAACATTAGATGTAGAACATGTTATAATACCATTGATTTTGAGTTTTTTTCCTGTGTGTGCATGATTAAAAAAATGGTTTTATGAGTAAAATGACATTACTGACAACGGCCACATGGATAATTATCAGAGGGAATGTCACTAAGAAAATGTGAAGGTGACTGTGGGGGGGGGGGGGGGGGGCACACACCCTCACCAGCAAGTATACAGTGTACCAGTGTTTTTTGATGATTTTTTCAGTGTCTCTGGATACTAGTGAATATTGAATTGCACATATAGTCACATTGTCTGTTCTTTTAGGTCTGGTGGTGTGAAGACATTTTGTGACTTATTAGAGAAACGAGACGAAGCGTTGTGGTTCCAGTTCTCCTTGCAGCCTCTTTGTCTGAATCATTTTTCTTTTGTTTGTGTTTGAAAATCCTCATGGGAGCTGCAGATCCATCTGATGTGACTGAATTGAGACAGTGGAATGTTCTTTTTAGGGAAAGTAGGGTGATAAGAATCCCCGTGTAATAAAGAGTTTCTGTCAGTGGGTTTTTGATCAAGGTCCGTTTTGAGCCTGTTATTTTCCTTGAGAATCAAAATGTCTAAAAAGTTCATCTTATTGTTGTCAGATGACAGTGTGAATTGAAGATGTTCATTTTAAGAATTAATGAAGTTATGAAACTCCTGTTGCATCATCTCTGGGCCTGTCCATATAAAAAATACATCGTCCAAAGACCTCTTCCGATGTGAGATGTATGTGAGGAAGGGATTCTGCTGTGGATTGAGGATCAGTTCTTGTTCAAAGAAGCCCACACACAAGGAGGCAAAGCTGGGGGACATCTTGGACCCCATTGCAACTCCCGAGACCTGGAGGAAAAAATCATGACCATAAAGAAAATAGTTAACGCTAAGTATTTCCTGAATAAGGTCCAGTATACATTGTGTTGTGGGAGCGCGATCACATCTGTTGTCCAGAAACAGCTTAGTAGCCAGGAGACCCCCAGCAAATGGCACATTGGTGTAAAGTGATTCAATGTCCATGGTGACCAGCACATGTGAATCTTCCACTCTTTGTATAGATTTATTTATGTTGATGAAATCGTTCTCTTTGACAGTTTGGGTGCTTCATTGGGTGGTTCTATTCCCTATATAAATATTTGTGCCTAACAAGAAATGCCCTTGTAGACTGTACTATATAACGGCTTCTTACCTGAGTCCCTTTTAGGGAGTACAAACTATTAGAGGTTTATGTAAATGTGTACAATTTGTAAATATTATGTATAACCTTTTTTTGTGTGATAACCTGCATAGATTTGTGCCATAATGCTTTTTATACATACTAGTATTATGTGAAGAGAGTTGTTGTTTATAAGTGGGGGGGATGTTTTTTGCATGTATGTCCTTTTCTGTGTATGTATGTATGGAAGGTCACCCTTTATATAGATGTTAGTTCGACAGTTTTTTCTTCTATTTATATTTTTTTCTAATGTTTTCTACTCTGTGTACAGCTGTAATGCATTGCACTGATTGACTGCAGGGATTGTGGGTATTTAAAATGGCGTTTCCATATGTACTCTGTTAACAAGTCTGAGGAAGAGCCTGCGTGCTCGAAATGTCACAAATGTCAAAATAAAATTATAAAGTAATGGGAGCTCTATTTGGTGTGCCGATCATCTTTTTCTTTTTCGTCTTCACTTGACTTTTTTGTTCCAGCACCCAATTGAAATTTCTTTGGGATGTGCGTGTCGCCATCTCTTTTTTTATAGTCATTCTGTCTGTCCCACGTTTTTCAAACACTCTGTCTGAATACATTGCTCTTCTTAATGGGTTCAGTTGACTGTTTAATCTGCAGTTTCCTATGACCTGTATCCCAAACACACACCATGTGAAACTGTACGTGGGCAACTGTGCACTCAGTGTGTATGGACTAGTATATAAGTATTTTAGTTTTCTTGCTGTAAGACAGATATTATTGGTGATTAATTTAATTCCGTTTAATTTAGCTTTATACTGATGGGGAGCTGCATCACTGACTATTATTAATATATGGAGAAGGGGTGGGAATAAATAAGTTTGTACTTCCTCCAGCTCCTTTTTGAACATGTAAGTCAAATCATTAAATGTTGTTTTCAGTTTTCATGCTGCCTTTAGTGACCTGCTTTTTTATGTCTGTCGACCACTGTGTGACTAATTTGTTTGTTTGCTGTTTACATGTTGGAAACCGACCGACTAAGAGAGCAGAGATAGTTTCACTTTCTGTTCCCTGTTACAAAGTTGTGTCTGTTTGCGAAGTGCTGATCATCCAACTGGATAATGAGATTTGGATTATTCTGCACGAGTTGTGTGAGAGTTTGTGAACAGATGTTTGATATAGTTTAGCTGCTGTTAAACGTGGACCCCAATGACTTCAGTTCATCAAGAATTTACTGTTTTTTCGTTCACTTTGGAGGCGTGAGAGAAAAACAAGGTTTTCTTCACAAATTCAAGGCACCACAGGGTGACGAATGGATATACAAATAATTTGTGGGTTGAAGCGTTCCTTTAAACGTATCTGTCTAACCCCGTACACTTCTCAACCCTTCAAACTCACTGAGTCAAACTCATCCCCTTCAGCCCTGTGTGTAATGTCCCAAAGCCAAAAGTAAAGAAATACTAATCACACTGGAACAAAGAGGAGCGACAGCTGATGTATATTCAGTCTCTGGAGTTTATTCTGAAATGATAAGAGTGCAGATTTCACAATAAAACAGTTCCTGTTACAATATTTGTCTTCCATCTAAATCATGATCCCTTTTTTTATTTAATGGTGGTGATGTGTTCACAGTAATGGGAGAACTGAAACCCTGGGCTGCTGTGTGGGTCGTCACATCCTCACACTATGAATTAAGTGATCTAATCTTATATTAACCTCCACATGAACAGGTGCACCAACACAGGTGGAAGTTTTGTTCCCAACGTCACTTATAAGGATGTTATTTAGCCACGTGGGGTGATGTCTCCAACTACACGGCAGGAGTCGAGTATTCTGTTTTTACGACTGATACACTTTACATAGATAGATATGTATATGCACAGCAAATATGTAAGCTCATTGTCGTACACACACACAAACACACACACACACACACAAAGGTGGCAGCTTAAGTGTTCTTCTGACCCGAGCAGACTCTGAAATCTTTAGTGGTAACTTTATGTTGGCAGTTCCTTCATTAATAATGTTACTGGCCACATCCCAAAAGCACAAAGGGTTAAATCGTTTCTTTAATTTTGACGATTACATTTCAAAATAAAATGCCCGAGTATTAAGATGGAAGTCTGAGGATGTTGCCAGAAATACAAAAACCACTCAAATCTGCAGGTTTTGTTTCCCAATCTGTTTAAAATATTATTGTCCGTGTGGATTCTGATTGGATTAGATTTATCATGACACGACAATTAGCAGCTCCCATGAATCCACCTCCACGTGAACTTAAAGGCCAGTTAGTGAAGAGTAAACACGCCTGCTGACAGGTAACTAAGTCATTTAAGCTAAATGCTGCTTCTTTTGTACAATATGTCTCTGTTACACGAGACTGCTATAATACTGCATACCATCAATGACACAAAGAGAATATACTGACTCACAAAAAATAAATGTCTGATTTTAAAGCAATAAACTCTACAATATAAAGCTGGAAGTAAAAAACACTGCGATGCAGCACTTTTCCTCCCAAATGAACTCTTTCTGCAGCGTGCCACACCCTCCGTCCGTCTCCTGCATACCCTGTCGCTCTCTGAGGGGCTAAATGACGAAAACAAAAAAAAAGCAAAGAAGAAGAGGTCAGGGACTGACCACTGAGTCCTCTCAGAGACTGTATGAAAGAAGTGGATGTAGCCAGCGTGACGCCACCCGTTGGTTTGTGGACGACTGTTTCAGCATTGAGACATCACCATCTTGGTTTTTTGGAGCCAGAAGTGACCATATTTGGACAAGAGGGTGGAGCTATGAAGGAGTGAGGGGTGGATCTAAATTATGGTGCGTTCCAGGCAACCCGTAACTCGTGTTTTCACAACCTGTAACCCGTGAAAGTGCACTGGAACGGCAGTCAAACCCGTAACTTCCCACCCGTGAACTCGTACCAGATCTATGTACTCCCAGTTACGGTTTCTGACGTCACACAGCCCTCTAAACCAATTACCTTACTCCTCTTAACAACAATGGCAGCCCTATGGATGCGGTGTTGATGCAGGTGATACATGGTGAGAAATAGACATAAAATAACCCTAATGTTAACGCATTATTGGCAGCCGCTCTAACAGCTGGTTTCTAGTGCAAGAATAAATCAATACAAAATACATTTCCAAACACACAGATAACGTAAAATAAAAAGTATAATAGCATCTGTGACCTTGTGCGCTGTTTTTCCTCCTCCGTTTCGCTCAAATGAGCAAAGAACCGGCACCTTTGGCGATAGAAATATTGGGGAAGCACAAACATACGGTTCGCCATGTTCAATGTTAAACAGGAAGTAACTGGCAGTTTGCCATAACTTTCCTGGAACGCTACAAAGTCGTAACTCGTGACTTGAAGTCGTGACTTACGAGTTCAAAAGCCTGCCTGGAACGCACCATTATACGCCTCCTATTCTGTTTGACCAACCTGCTCTCATTATGAAGTCTTTAAATGCCGCCTCTTGGTCATTGACGTCTGCATCAAACTCCAACAAAACAGACATCCTGTCGCAGCAGTACATAACGGCATCAGTTATTAAAGCCATAGGATGGCATCAGGTTAAAACACCATACCCAGGAGCCTGGTGTTCGCTTCTCATATTAAGCCAAACTATGATCTTTTTCTAAACCTGACCACTGGCGTTTGTTGCACAATAAAATATACGTAAATGCACAGTATTTTATCAAGGTTTTTTTTGTTAGTTTGTTTTCAAAGAGACTGTATCATCTAACAAGCAGAAACTGTGAAAACAGGAACTGGTATGTAACATGTAGAAAAATATTATTAAAATTTACGAAAAAATTTGTCACAAAATATCAATAAAACATCTAAAAAATATTAAAACGTCTGAAAAAGTCAATTAAATTTTGAAAAAATAATAAAAAAAAAATTCCAAATAAAGATAAAATGGCTGAAAAAATATTCATGAAATGTCCAAAAAAGTGTTTATAATACCTGAAAAAATGACCAAGCGGCAATATGGGACAGTTTGGGGGTAAGAATGTGTTGGAGTGACAGGTCGCCGTGGTAGCAACTTGTAAAATGTAGATCATAGACTTGAATCTGGCAATTGAGATCATACACCCAATGCAAAAATGTTTAGTGAGTGAGCGGTAGGATCATTTTCTTATTGACTTCTATATAATATGACTGGAGTCACCCCCTGCTGGCCATTAGTAAGAATGCTAGTTTAAGGGACTTCCACATTGGCTTCACTTTTTTAGAACTGATGGCTTTGTGCACTTCTTTGATACAGTCTATGAGTTCTCCTGTTACAGTGCAGAGGTTAAAGGGGAGGGGTCAGGGGTGGAGGCTTCCTTTTAGTAGCTCTTCATGCCGATGGAAGATCCTCCGGAGCCGTCGTGACGTTTGATCTGATAGATCATCAGGAGGGAGACCAGCAGGCCCAGCAACTATGAGGACAGGAAGTCAGTTAGAAACACAGATACAGCAGACCAGCTGTCAGACATGAAAGACACTACACAAGAAAACTATCTGCAGACGACTGCTGCATTTAAACCCAGAGTTGAGGCCGCCAGCTGCTGTAAGGATGTTTTTTATTTCAGTGTACTGTCTGCATCTTGTTAGTTTAATGGTTAAATGAGTTGTAGAGCTTTCTGATCTCTTTTCATCAGCAGCTGAGACCAGTTAAAACTTTCTTCACTCAACCAGCTCAAAATGGGAGCTGGTTCTAGAAGTGTTTTTTCCCAAATTGAATCTCGATTTTATTTTATTTTTTACTGAGATCTTTCTTAATTTAGAAACACAGGAGTTTCCTGACTGTTAGCTAACCACGCTAACCCAAAGCACTAGCTACACAAAACCCCTGTAAACATGTCAGTGTGAGTGAAATGGTCCTGCAGTGAATGTGTCACAGTGGGACTAACACACCCAGATCATGTGACTCCTGCATGTATACAGTCAATCAGACCCAAACTGGCCGAGGCGCTCTGAGCATGCTCCACAGTTTCCGCCCCGGGCTTTGACCCGGAAGTCCAATAGCATTAAATGTGTAAGAGAAGAAGAAGCCGGTAACAACATGGAGAAATCTACATCCAGAGCCGTGACTTTTTGGACGGACCAAATGTACAGAGCTGTAAAGTTGTCCACCATGGTAGCAGTTAGCTGCTAGCTAACCGTAGCTAACTTGTTTGTCCATTGTTTGGTCTGTGACGTAATAGGTCAACAGGAAAAAGGTCCAATACTAACAAGCTGAAAGGGGGCATATCTCCACCTATCGTAGAGGAGTCGCACATACTTGGCTCAATAAATGGATTCCCCTCCCGTGCTTGTATACTGGGACAAGGACAGTAGGCCAGTTAAATGTCCTCGTCCAGCTGGAACTGTAGCTCCACTTCACTGTGACTGGAAATGTACCAAGTATGACCTCAGAGAGACATTAAGCTCTTATCATCGGACATACATTAAATGTTGCTTGGAATTAAAATCAGGTTGATGAAATGTGTAACAACAGCAGAACTTCACACTGTGTGAATGTTAACATCATGACGGGGTTTGGTCTCCATAACTTGAGACTAAGTGTCGTTATTCTTAAACAAAATGATGTTGGCATGAGATGTTTGGAAGACATTGGATTTTGGTTTCTAAACAATACAACTTAAAACCAACAAAATATCACGTCACCTGTCGTCAGTATTTTACATCGAGTTGACATCAGCAGTTAGACACTGTCCTGGCCATCTGACATCACAACCTAAATTCAACCAAATATCAACGTCTAACAAAGTTGGTGGCCGGCTGGGAAAAATTACATTTAGAAGTAACCAAACCTGATCCTGAACTGAGTCTGAAGCCTAATGGAAGATGATGACCCAACACTTTTGAGGCCCCTGTTTATGTTGTATGGCCCGCTGTGGCTACATTAGCATTAGCTAAGAACGAGGGGTTTAGTATTTTACTTTGTAAAGTATGACATGTTTTTTCTACAAAAAGAAACACACCAAAATTTGTACATATGTATGTGTGCGCCAGTAATTAGTGCATAAGCTACGTATTTTGGACGTGACCAATGCGTTGAGGGGAGGAAACAAGGAAGCGGACTAGCAAGGAGGAAAGTTGGACTGGTTGACTGGTCACATAACACAGGACTCTTCTCAGGAGAACAGTGTTTGGAACCGTGTGTACTTCATGTTAAGGATGTAATGTCATTCATGGGGTGCTAGTCTGTGGGGCATTACACTACGTTTTGTGCGTGCATTTTTTTTGGACTTATATGAATCTTTGTATCCAAGATTTGCTAGCCTAAATGTTACCTCTTTAAATCAATAAACAATTGGCGTCATTCATTGATGGGTGGTCACCTGTAAAGTAAGCCTGTTGTTGCTGCTTCTCCTAACTACACAAAAGCCCCTTTTCAATCACAGGAACTTTCCCCAGGAACCTTTTGAGGCACTCCTTGCAATTCTACTGCAGGTACCAGGGTCTAAATTAAGTTCTGAACACATAAGACAAAAAGTCCCTTATCGGAGGTGGTACTTTCTGAAACTACAGAAACTTTTGTAGCTTGCAAAAACAACAACTTTGTGGCATCCAAGCTGTAGCAAATTAAGCAAAATTACGACACTCAGTTTGAAGTGTGCCTCTATAGAAACCTCAATTATGAGTGCCATGTAGCCCGAACACTTCCAGCTATTTCTTCATCCCAACATGAATCAGAACACCCTACCCAAAGACCTGAACGCGCAAAATGGAGGGTTGGCAGCGGCAGGGGTGTACTGGGATTGGGCCAAAACCAGTTATGGAACAAACCACTGCACCGTCGTTGCTAAATGCATCAAAAAGCAACTGATGTGATGACAGAACAGGATGAAACACAAATGAAATAACAGTGGAGCTTACTGCGGTGACAGCAAATCCAAAGAAGATGCCCATGGCGACCCGGAAGATGAGGTCCAACCACATAAAGATGAAATCACCGCAGGTCTGCAGAAGAAGAGATGGAGAAAGGGGTCATTATCTGAAAACATCAGTGACTGGAGAATCAGATGGGGTTGTGATTAGTTGGTTGGATACCTGTCTATAGATCTGCTGTGGCCCTCTGGCTCCCTGCAAGGAAACAGCAGCAAAATATGGTCATCAGATTGAGAAATGAGACAGTCCAGTGGTTATCTTCTGTTAAGTACCAGAAAATAAAAAGTATGCATTCGAAACAGGTGGAAGTACTTTTAGACTTCATACATATCCCACATAATCATGAGCCAGGAATTCATGCAAAACCCATCTTAAAGGCTGCGATCATGTGACCAATGCACTAATCAGAGTAAATAATGAAGCGGTCCTGAGCGGCCCATAAGGAGGCAGGTTCAGAACTGTACGAACTTTGAGTCATTTAAAGGTGGAGCCTCACCACGTTTCTTTTCCCGAAACCTAACCATAGTAACTTCAACTGCCTGTCAACTGTCAAATATCCTCTTACAACAGTTTGTATGATATCCTATGAATAAGCACCCCATGTATGACGTTACATCCTTAATGTTAAGTTAGGCAGTTAATGTAAAATTACAGTTGTTAGGTTTAGGTAATTAAAGTCACTGTGGTAAGGTTTAGGGAAAAGACACATGGTGACAACGTATGACTCAAAGTTCACATGGTTGAAAACCCTGGTCTCCTGGGGAAAGTCCGTGGGACAAACCTAACCACAATAACTTTATCTGCCTGAACCTAACCTCTGAAAATTTACGTTGATTACGTAACTGTACATGACGGATGTAATGTCGTACATGGGGCGCTAATTCAAAAGATATCATATGAACTGTTGTATGAGGATATGTTGACAGTCTAGTTAGTTTGAAGAATACCAAACCCTTAATTCATCGTATGAGATTTTCACGATACGATAATCATCTCAGAAAATATCATGGTTTCACAGTATCATGGTATTACAATATTTATTTTATTATAAATCAGAATAATCCTTAAACGAATGAAAACAGAATATTGTGAGCTACTAATGTGTTTCAGGGTTTTCAGGAAATCACCAACCCTATGATTAACAATCCAATCCACGTGTATCACCTGTAACCACGCACAGCTGACATCACAAGGTCCATGATTTTTGGTACATTTAGTGACGAAAAAGTGGCATTTACTTTTGCACATTAGTACAGTCTTTCTAAACCTCCTAGATCTGATCTTCCAGTTTCATTTTACAAAAACCAACCTGGGGTAAGGGTTTACATCCAGATACTCCAAATCCTGGATATACTCCATACTGAGACTTGCACTCGCAGGAGTCGGGGATGTTATCACCCCAGTCAGAGGAGCTCACCACTCCACAGCAGTAAGCCTGCAACCACAAAAGAGAGTGCATTTCAACAGGTGGAAATGACCTTCAACAGGAACAGGAAGTAGATAGTGGGATATCAGTAGGTCACAGAGAGATCTGAAGATAAACCAAGAAATAATAACACCAAAGTACTGAGCATAAATTAAAACCTTTTGGAATAACACATGGGTTAGCTCTGCTCTAACCGCAGAGATTATTATGGATGGGCAAAAAAACAATGGGAACTGTTGAACCTCCCTGGGGACATTTTATTTCTGAGCAACATAGTGATTATTATCGTGACTGTACAGTAATCATCAATACAAGTTTTACAGTGTAAAACGTGATGATATGAAGGTTTCCTGTATGCTTAAGAGAGACACCCTCCTCTAACGTCTGCCAGAGTGTCCAACTTGGCGACTTTCTTGCTAGATTTGGCGACTTTTCGGACTTTCTTAGCAACTTAATTTCTCAAAAGCATTAAGCGAAAAATTTAGTGACTTATTTAGATCATCAGGGAACACAAGAAATATATTCAATTTAGGGCTGGAAAACATATTCTATGAGTAAGACTGTGATATTTTTAGGCTATATCGTGATACACAATATATATCTTGATATTTCCAAATCTCCTCTAAATTACTGTAGATTACTAAAATACTAAACTAGATTAATTACTGGTACATTACAGTTAAATTAAGAAGCTACTGTCATATAATAAAGATCAATAAACTACATTTACAATAAAGTTCAATTAAATACTATTATAGTGAAGCTGGATAACTACTGTTACAATATAGGTAAATAAAGGTATTATTTTGATAAAGTTAAATAAAGTACTGTTATAACAAAGTAAAATAAAGTTCTGTTTTGATAAAGTAAAGTACTGTTTTGATAAATTTAAATAAAGCTCTGTTTTGATAAAGTTAAATGAAGTTCTGTTTTGATAAAGTAAAATAAAGTACTGTTATAACAAAGTTACATAAAGTTCTGTTTCGATAACGTTAAATTACGTTCTGTTTCAATAACGTTAAATAAAGTTCTGTTTTGATAAAGTTAAATGAAGCACTTTTTTGATAAAGTTAAATAAAGTACTGTTTTGATAAAGTTAAATAAAGTTCTGTTATAATAAAGTTAAATGAAGTTCTGTTTTGATGAAGTTAAATAAAGTTCTGTTTTGATAAAGTTAAATGAAGTTCTGTTTTGATAAAGTAAAATAAAGTACTGTTTTGATAAAGTTAAATAAAGTACTGTTTTGATAAAGTTAAATAAAGTTCTGTTTTGACAAAGGTAAATAAAGTTCTGTTTTGATAAAGTTAACTAAAGTTCTGTTTTGATGAAGTTAAATAAAGTACTGTTTTGATGAAGTTAAATAAAGTTCTGTTTTGATAAAGTTAAATAAAGTTCTGTTATAACAAAGTTAAATAAAGTTGTGTTTTGATAAAGTTAAATAAAGTTCTGTTTTGACAAAGTTAAATAAAGTTCTGTTATAACAGAGTTAAATAAAGTTATGTTTTGATAAAGTTAAATAAAGTTCTGTTATAACAAAGTTAAATAAAGTTCTGTTTTGACAAAGTTAAATAAAGTTCTGATTTGATAAAGTTAAATAAAGTACTGTTTTGATAAAGTTAAATAAAGTTCTGTTTTGATAAAGGTAAATAAAGTTCTGTTTTGATAAAGTTAAATAAAGTTCTGTTTTGACAAAGGTAAATAAAGTTCTGTTTTGATAAAGTTAACTAAAGTTGTGTTTTGATAAAGTTAAATAAAGTACTGTTTTGATGAAGTTAAATAAAGTTCTGTTTTGATAAAGTTAAATAAAGTTCTGTTATAACAAAGTTAAATAAAGTTATGTTTTGATAAAGTTAAATAAAGTACTGTTTTGATAAAGTTAAATAAAGTTCTGTTTTGACAAAGGTAAATAAAGTTCTGTTATAACAAAGTTAAACTACTGTTACAACAAAGTTCACGAAAATACTTAAATTATAATAAACTGAGTAATGTTACAATAAAATAAAAAAACTGTTATAATATATATATATATTATCCAATAATTGTTACAAATAAAGTATCGTCATAATAAAATGAATCGAAGTGGAACCACTGGCTTAATTCTGAAGCACTCAGCTCGTCTCAGACTGGAGCAGGAAACAAACTAATAGCCGATGTATACTTCATATCCGATGTTTGTGATATGGTCATTTTATATAATGTTACATTGACGGCCACTGTTCACACGAGAAGAGCCTTCAAGAAGCGGCGTTCAGCCAGGCTGGATTTTACTGGAACGGGTTTTATACATAGTACACAGAGAATCTTACAGATTGCTGTAGTCCTTCAAGCATCAGTCTCATTTCAGGGTCTTCCATAAAAGGCTTAGACAACTCAGCGGAGGCAGTGTCAAAGCTCGCTTTGATCTGCAAGAGAAGAAAGAACATTAGCATCATGGCAGATACATGAGAGAGGACACCATTAGCATTCAGAGACAGAGGATATGTTAGCATGCACAGAAACAATTAGTAGACTGGTAAAGAGTAAACAGGAACTAGCATCATGATAGAAAAAAAAAGGATCAAACATTACGATTGATCAAGAAAACATTAGCATTAAGATAGAGGAAAACTGTTAGCATCTAAGCAGATGAAGAAATGTAGAGTGTGTAAGCATCAAGGTGGATAAACAGGTAAAGAAAGAAATGGTAGCATGGAGGTGGATCGAGAAAATGTTGACATCAGGTTGATAACGCAAACTTTAGCATCAAGATAGTGAGAGTGTTAGCATTCAGGTAGAAGGACAAAATGCTAGCACCAAGAGAGAGAATATCAGATAGAGAAACAAATGCTAGCATCAAGGTAGATAGTGATGACGTTAGCATCATGGTAAATAGTGATAATGTTAGCATCAAGGTAAATAGTGATAACGTTAGCATCATGGTAAACAGTGATAATGTTAGCATCAAGGTAGATAGTGATAACATTAGCATCAAGGTAAACAGTGATAATGTTAGCATCAAGGTAGATAGTGATAATGTTAGCATCAAGGTAGATAGCGAGAACTTCAGCATCAAGGTAGACAGTGATAACGTTAGCATTAAGGTAAATAGTGATAACGTTAGCATCAAGGTAGATAGAGACAAAAAATGTTAGCATTAAGTTAAATAGTGATAACATTAGCATCAAGGCTGATAGAGAGAAAGTTAGCATGAAGTAGTCTCTAAGATGATGCCCTTAATCACTGCTCCTTAATTAAATAACAAAGAACTTGGTAGTTTTCTTTGTGTTAACTCAGAGTGGAGATAGATTTATTAGAGTGAATTATAACATAATAGATGCAGAGAGAATTCATGTCAGTGTCGAGATAGAGAGATTAATAGAGTGGTAGATAAATGACCTTGTTTCTTGTGACAGCGATGATGATGCCGAAGATCAGCATGATGATCATTCCAAGGCCCATGAAGCCTGCAAACTGTACATGGCACAATATTCAAAGGTACGTCTTGTTTTGTAAATCAAATGCTTTGATTGCTTAATAAAGGAACCAAAAAACAGATATGATCATGAGTTCTTCCTCCGTTTGACATCCTGTACATACTATTTTGAGGGCCAAGTCTTTCTCGGAGCATCCTGCGTAGATTCCCAGGCAGGAGATGCCGAGGATGCCGATGGCAAACACCCAACTCCAACCCAGGCTCGGGGCCCCAACCGATGACATCTGCTCCGCCATGATGGGAAAATGACACACCACAAACACTAGATTAAGGCAAAGATGTATTCTCCAACAGCAGATTTAATAGTAAGGCTGGAATTGTTTTCTTGCTGTCAACAAATCCCATGCCAAAAAGGTAACTCTGCGTATCTTATATACTTTCTCTATAACCTGGTACATGTTGAAAATATAGTCAGGAAGGCTTTAATCTGAAGCACTTGGTCATTTTTATAGACAGATAGATATCTTCCTTGGAAGTTAAGTTTCATTAACGTTGGAATAAAACACGCAGTTAATAATGGTCCATATCTTTTGTTTACTGCCACAGAGGAGAAATTAATCTCTTGCTTTTTAAACAAAGTGCCATTGCTTATAGACGTTGGAGCAACCAATCCTGCATGTTTTTCTGATCGGTCGCCCCATTTCCCAGCTGTATTTGAACCATCTGACTCGGGTATTTCCACCAGTTTAAATCGGCTGGTCTGTTTGTTTTGGAGAGGAGGACACCTCCGCAGATCATTCGTCTGCAGCCTAAAACCTCCTGAACAGTGAACACTGAGGGAATTCTAACCAGGAGTTCATGCTTTGCACTCAGGAGAAGTTTCAGCTGGCTGCAATCTGCAATCCTCACCTCTAGATGGCACTAAATCCACACACTGCTCCTTTAAGGCCCTGACACAACAAGCCGACGGTCAGCCTTCGACCAAAGTCGGGCCGTCAGTGAGCGTCTGTCGGCAACGCAACAGTTGGCTTTCGTCGCCGCTAGTTCTTTGATGTCGGTTTGGTGTGTCCGCACCTTTAATTTTAAATTAGCAGGTAACAATGTAAGACTGTGGAGGTCGGACGGATGTAGTATTTTTTTCTCAGTCTCTGCCATAACTAATTTTTGACTGGATGATATTTACAAAGGAGAGGACCAACCTAATCATACTTTCATGGGATTTGGCAACAAGAGAAATACAGAATATCCATAAAAATCCCCTTTAATGTGTTAACCAAACATCACATAGTCTTCTAACGTGCAAAAAGAGGACTCCAGTTTTTTCAAATGTAATTTCCAGATAGAAACATCATCTCTCATAGCAGCTGATACTGTATAAAGGACCATACGGGATCAAGTTTCAGCCCATTAACAAGTTCAAAATGGGCATTAGAATGCGGGAAAAATCCATCACAAACTGATGATGGTGTTGTGGAAAATGCTCGACAGAAATAGAAAGTGAATTTGATTAGTTGAAAACAAAGGCCACGAAGAGAGAGAGTTTTTTTTTTTTTTTTGCTCCCCTGTGAAGCCTTGAGTGTTTCTGATCTGATAACATTGTCAGCACCGTCCTGTTTTTCTGTTGTCGAGGAAGTCGACTGTGCGAGTGGAAAAACTCCTCCAGGCTGCATCTGCTCTTCATTAGGAAAAGAAATGAAAACCTCCACTACGTCTTGGCAGCTGCCCTGCATCCTTCTAAACACTGCGAGTCCTTCACCTCAGCTTGTTTGAAACATTTCTAAACAGGTACGATGTGTTTTCAGATGTGTGCAGTGTCAAGGATTATACATGAGAAACAAAGTCAGCTTTGATTTTTCACAAACCAGCTGCTTTTGTTTTCATGCAAAGCCTCACTGACATTAACTCTGTGCCATGACCAAGTCAGAGCCTACAAAGTATTTACTCTGCCTGCTGTGAGGGGTTGTGCAGGGTTCTCTAAATGCTGCCATGAAATAGAAATCCCCCAAGTGTTTAAGAGTGATCAACAAACCCTGTAACCCCACCCCCCACCCCCAAAACAACTCAAACATGATTGACTTAATTGTTCTCATCTGATTTTGATTTAGTTGTTTTACTCTGAGTCACGTTACAGTAAATCTGCCGCTCGTTCTGCCAACACACATCCCGTAACAGGAAGCTGTTAACGTATTTCTGGTAGCGTCCAGCGTCCATTCAGTCTAGTAAAGATAATGACTGAGGAAATTTCTGTGGCAGATCACAGCACACACTCATGATTTCATAACATGGCAGATAAACGACCCCATGTCCGGTTTAGCTTCTGTTGGCAGCATTTGCAGTTTGACTCATATTCATGTTTTCCTGACATGCGACAGAACTGAGCGTAGTTTGATGTCGTCATACCCCAGTGCCATGTCTTACCAACCAGTTCTCATCCCAACTTGTCAAACACCACCACTCGGTGGACCTAGACGTCAACACATGACGTGCTACTGTAGGTGGCCTCACAGGGTGCTTGAGCCCCTGCCCTTTTTGCCTCGCATAGAAAAGTGCCCTTATTCTGTAGGTCGTTTTTTTGTTTTTTTTGTTTGTTTGTTTGTTTTTCCCTGCCGTGCACAGTCTGCTCTTCCTGCCCTGCCGAACAGATGTTGATTGAAGCAAAATATCAGATAGGGAGATCTGTGATTGGAAGCCGTGGGTGATGCCCCTCCCATACCGCATCTAATGTTACAAACATTTCTGTGGAAAGCGAAACTTATCTCTGGACGCGCATTCAGCGCCAGTAGCCTGCTCCAGTCATGACTTGTAAGTCGTGAGAGTGACGTTAAATGTTTAAATCTTACACCAATAATATTTTCAGTAGTTTTGGAGGGAGGTGAGAGACAAAGGAATGTTAAATGTTAAAATCTTTATCTTAAACCAAATTTAAAAAATAAACTAAAAAAGTGTTTTATAGCTTCTTAGAATTGTGTCTAATTTCTAGGATGTCTTCCAAATCATGACATGAATTATATTAAAGGGCAAGTCAGCAGTTTCTGGCGGCGTCTGCTGGTCAACCAGTGTATTGCAACTGTTCCCATAGGGTTTCAATAGGGATTCTGGAACAACATGGCAGCAGCCAGGAAATTCAACCCGTGCTTCTTGGTATATAAAACGACTCATTCTAAGATGAAAGAGAATACAGAAATGATCCCTTCTGATGTATTATGCACTATTTTATTATACTTATGAATATTTTATTTAGTTCCCACAAAGAACAACAATATGTTAACATTATATTAAGAGCATTTTATTTTCACCACTAGATGACGCCGGAAACCGCTGACTGGCCCTTTAAACTAATCTGTTGGTGATAATTTCTTTGCACACAGATTTTAAAAGCTACATACTAGGCTATGCAGCTAGGCTGTTAGCTAGCTATTTATGACTAGTAGTCTAATTTATCAATTTATAATACATACTGTAATGAGCTAGACCCAGTGCCCTTTTCTGCCTTTGAGCCCCTGCTCCTCTATTAGCCTGTGCACGGCCCTAATGGACGGCGTCTCAATTGATGCTTGTTACATGCATTGTGTCTTTTCAAAATATGTTTCCATTTTCACAGTAAATGTCTGCTGAACAGATGGAAACAGTCTCTTTCAGTAAAACATTGCGTATTTATTTCACTGTGCAACTAATGCACTTGGTTGGGTTCAGAAAAAACCCATCGTAGTTTGGCTCAACATTCACAGAAGGAGCGAACACACAGCTCCTGGGTCAAAGTCTGTTTGTTGGACCCATCCATCACCACTCCTGCTCGTCATACAGGGACTTTCCAGGTCTTTGAATTATGTTGTTGTCCTGTTGCGTTAATAAGTGACACCGCCCCACTGCAGAACATACCACTGTGAAAGGATGCCTGGTTTTGTTGGTGTATTGAAGACTTTGGAATGAGAACAGGTTGATCGATGAGGATAGAGATTCACCCCTCCTGTCCAAACATGGTCACTCCTGGCTCCAAAAAACAAGATGTCGAAGGCCCAAATGCTGAACCCAAGGCTTTAAATCGGTCGTCCACAACCCAAGGGGTGGAGTCACCCTGGCTCTTTTTCACAATAACCTTACTATGAATCTTAAACATTTCTATTTAGAGTTTATTTCCTTACATTTAGGCCAAAAAAGCACAGGTTTGGTTTTCTGCATTTTGACTCTAAAATGTGACACATGAATCAGAGTGACTTGTTGTGTTTTTGTTGTTGTTGTTTACCTGGTGGCTGTAGGCGCTGGCCTTCACCGCCCCGAATACCATCAGGCATCCGATGATCTGGGGACACATCACATTAGTTAGAGTTAGAGTTTTACCACAATAAAAGGCTGAAGTGTGCAAACAAAATATTGATTCTTAAAAAAGAAAAATCAATGGAATTAAAAGAAATAAAATACACTGATATAAATATTCGATATTTACCAACTCACATTGTCAAACCTTCATGACTTTATTTTCCAGCAGCATCACATACATTACATGTAATATGTTAATACACACTGGTGCTCAGCGAGTACATCATCATCTGTATCTGTTCAACCAACTGAATCATCTGTATCTGTACTCGGAGTGGGCGGAGTTTACGTCGGAAATGGGTGTGGTCTGAATCAAGAGTGGGTGTGGCCAAATAGGAAGCTGTTATTTTAAGCCTGAAATTGATATGGGTCGATCAGAAGATGTTATCTACAATTTTATTTTATTGTTGTTGGAAAACCATTTGCAGAACAATCTCGGATTTTAGTTCCAGATTGTTTTTCAGCGAGCCAGACGACGATGGTCCTTTATCAAGAGTATGGACATTGACACATCTTACTCGTGCTCATAAAAAGTACATTATCTGTGCTGGATACTCGTTTCATCCAAGTATTCAGATCCATGTTAGTGTTGTACGGGTGTTTCATAGCAGCAGGTCGCAGCTGGTCACACACAATCTGATCAAATCCTGAAAACAGGTTGTTCAAAACTAAAAAAAGGGATTCTGAAATCGGACGAGGTCACATAATGGAGTCTGGGTTTGGATCGTTTGGTCGTCCTGGATTCACGAAGGAACAAAATGTAATAAAACTTTAAAACTGGTCAAATATGTAAACATTTATTTATATTGATTTTACTTGATTTGTTCAACAGTAATTGTGATAAAGTAGATTAAGTAGACATCAGGTGGCCTATTACGCCTTTCAGTACAGTGAGGTAAATTAAAAAAAAAAAAAAAAAGATGTCACCATAAAATACCAGTAATAATCACAAGGATCTGTTTTGTTTTCTTTGGTTGTTCCTCGTCACATGACGCCCTGCTGCTTTGTGGAATACAAAGCTGAACTCTCGGGGCGCAGTCGTCGCACCCTGAAAGATAGATGCTCGGAAACACGTGCGTGCCATAACAGCGTCGCACATCTACATTACTAACAATGATCTGCAGGCTCAAAACAATGCTGCATGTTTTCATCCCCTTCTGTTGTGTTCACACCAGATGTGATGCGAAGTTTCATGTTCGTGTGAGTTTGAATGCTAAAATATTTTGTGTTGACTCGCGTCATGTGTGTGTGTGTATGCGAGAGGAGGGGCTTCCATCAATCACCATTTTCCTGCCTGTCATCTTGCGAGTACGGCAGCTGGAATCAAGCGACAGACAAACTCACTCTCCTCTGACTGAGCTCCTTTTTATTCCTGTTGCTATGAAAGCAGGAAGTGATGTCATACAGCTCGGGGTTGCCACAGACCGACACCATCAGCTTCTCCATTTTTCTACAGAATTAACTTCCGCAGGTGTCATACGTCCCCGGAGGATCTCAATGCTGATTGGTTATCGCAGCGCAAATCAATCATTGAAGTTAAGATTTTTAACTCTTGCTTATGACGCAAAATCTTGCTACTCACGTCTATCGCACCACCCGGCGGGAATTTGCGTCCAATCTTGTCTTCACGTTGACTTTACGTGTAATCCACTTGTGCATATTGCTTCATATTCATGCCTGGTGTGAACACAACTTAAAAACAAATGAGTCTGCCGATACACACTGCAGTTACTGCAGCTCGCCACAGGTGTCGCCACAGAGAACCAAACAGAGATCTTTGTTATTGTAACTTTAAATAATTTTTGTTTAATACTGACAGCTAACTGTGGGAATATTTTATAGGAGCAAAAAATGAAATGGACCTCACTGAAAGGCTAAGTAGGAAATCTAATGTCTTCTTTACTACAGTAACAGTGAAACAAATCAAGTGCAAAATCCTACCAAAATGTCTGGAACAACACAAATGACGGTTTGGTCAAAACCAATATTGGATCACATGATCTCCATGAACGTGTTTAGCTTCTTCTGGACAACATGTTCGTGCAGGTGAATTTTCTCTGCTGCCCTCAGGACATTTTTTTTATCTCTATTATTGGAAATCAATCTATAAACTTCTTTTAAAATAATCTCTAGATTCCTTTATTTGACTGAACTCCTTGGCATATTTTCATTTTTAATTTATGACTCACATATTTATGTGTCTACATGTTACTGTATGTTAAAGTCTGTCTGTTCAGACAAACTGCTCCTGGTGGCAGTGGCGTGAGGTCGTTGAGATGGGCCCCAGTGCACGCTATCGTCTGGTCACATGATCAGAGACTTAAAGGGATAGTGCACCCAAAAATGTAAATTCAGCCATTATCTTCTCACCCATATGGCGAGGGAGGCTCAGGTGAAGTTTTAGAGTCCTCACATCACTTGCAGAGATCCAAGGGGAGAGGAGGTAGCAACACAACTCCACCTAATGGAGGCTGACGGCGCCCCAGATTCAAACGTCCAAAAACACATCATTGAATCCACAAAATATCTCCATACTGCTCGTCCGTAGTGATCCAAGTGTCCTGAAGCCCCGACATAAAAAGTTGTTTGGAAAAACCTCATTTGAACTCTGTTTTTAGCCTCATTGTAGCCTGTAGCTCTGACTGCCTCTCTGGGCACCGCGCTCACGTTTGTGCACTTGTGCGAAACACTTGGATCACTACGGACGAGCAGTATGGAGATATTTTGTGGATTCAATGATGTGTTTTTGGACGTTTGAATCTGGGGCGCCGTCAGCCTCCATTAGGTGGAGTTGTGTTGCTACCTCCTCTCCCCTTGGATCTCTGCAAGTGATGTGAGGACTCTAAAACTTCACCTGAGCCTCCCTCGGCATATGGGTGAGTAGATAATGGCTGAATTTTCATTTTTGGCTGCACTATCCCTTTAAGACATGGATAATATCAACATACATATTTCTCAGCAATCATATCTGTATTTAACAAAACATATATACTGTACATATATAGGTATATATATATATAATGAGCATCTTATTTTGTTGTTTAATTCAGTGAGAGTTCCTCTCCTCTTTTCTCCACCGAACACATAGGTAGAGGGCCCAGTCTCTCTATAGGGCCCCACCTCACAGGCTCCAGTGCAACCACACGGCCTGCACTGTCTATATTCCCGCCCCCGCCTGGTAAGATTAGTAAAGTTGTTTGAATCTGATCTGACCCTTTTTTCCACTGAGCAATGATCCAGTCTGATATCTGAGACCTGTGAACAGCTGAGCTCAGTGGTCTGGTCCAGTGTCTGCAGTTCCTGCTGTGAGACACCAGAGGGAGACAGAGTCCCACAGACTGAGCACTGTGTGTGTTTCACAGTGGGTGATCTGAGCTGAGGGCTCCTGCACACACACACTCACCAACTCTATAACCCTCTGGAAACAGTTTGAGCTTCACAGACAGCTCGGGTTGTTTTCGTGTTTCATTATATTCTAATGTGATTAATGTGTGAAACAGCTCAGTGTGATCTGAAGTCAAACAGGCAGTAACAATGAGGCAGTGACTGGAGACTGAAGCTCGTGTGGGTCCTTAAAGAAGAGAAGAGGCGTCACAGAGGAGAAAAAAGCTTTTATTAAAAAACTTTTATTAAAAAAAGCTTTTTAATGTAAGTCAGTGTTTTTTACTCTTGATGCACTTTTAGTTTTCACTCCTGCACAAATTTAATATTTTAAATATTTTTGTTGGAGCGGTCAATTTGTTTCACGCAGAAAACAAAAAGAACACTGAGTACCCCTCAAACTGAAAACAGCCTCTTTAAACTCCGCCCTCTTTAAATACCTTTTTTTCCATCAGCGCTCGGAATGTCTGTGAAACAGCCCTTCATCAGAGGAAGAGGAGGGGGGGGGTCGGGGGGGCCGGGCTGAAACATGACTCTGGGTCTGTGCTGCACAGATTTGTCTCTGGCTTTCCCTCTCTTTCTTCTGCTCGGGTTTTTTTTCCTTTCTTACTGGAAGTGACTGTTTACTGAACATGAGTCATAAAACAAAACCCTTTCACACCTTTAATTAATTCTTCATTGGTTATATATTATATTTTATATTATGTCAGTTATATATTTAATTTTAAACATCTGATGAATTTCAATGTTTTTTTTAATGAACACAAACTTCTTTTAAAGTTTAAAACTCTTTGATAATGAACCAAATCAGCTCTAAATAATCTATTTTTCATTTTCTGTAATAAATCTGCATCTTTTCTTCTTTTATCTTTTTTTAGCATCACAATTTTTCCCGTCTCCTTTTTTAAGTAAATGCAAATAAACAGTCTTTTTTTTCCATCTTTTAACTTAAACATGACGCTCTCTTCGTTTTTGAACAGAAACAATTAATGCCTAAATAACAAAAGAGCACAGCAAAAAATAAATATATAAATAAATTGCGCAACTTTTCTTTCTTTTGGTGGATTTCTCCTTCCAGCCTTTTTTCTTTTTAAATCTTTTTCTCCAAACGCAAATACAAAAGTAAAAAGACAGAAAAATGATCAATAAGAAATAATTCACCAAAACTGAAGTAAAATAGAAAATGAGCTCAGAAATGATCAGAAAAGAGTTTTTACTTACTGCAAACAGCACGTTGAAGAAGATAAAGAGACATTTGAGGCATCCGTTGATTTTTCCCATCTTGAGGTTTTTGGTGGCTCTCAGAGGTGAGGGTGAAGCTGTGTGTGCATGCACGATTACACGGTGTGTGTGATGATGTGCAGGAGTGTGTGCTGTGATAAAAACTGCCTGCAGAGTCAATAGGGGGGAACACAGAGCTGCGACACACAGAGCTGATCTGCAGCCTCAATCACACACCAGCTGCAGCTTTAAGGGTTTCACATGATTACACAAACTCCAGGAACTCATTTTGTGCAGAATAAAATGCATTATTAATAATAATAATAATAATAATAATAATAATAATAATAATTATTATTATTATTATTATTAATAATGCATTTTATTTGTAGAGCGCTTTTCAAAAACAGGCAAACAAAAAGAAAGTGAAAATGTGTTTTTATACTTTATCTAATGAGGAGTCTCGACAAAAAAGACAAAAGAATGATTAATAATTTATTTTATTTTAACTTAAAGTAATTTAAAACTTAAAAAGTGTCATTAAAGCATCTGAAGTGATGGATTTTATTTTTAAAAGGTTCTTGAAGAAATGTTTTTCTTTGTTTAAAGAGAAGTCTCGGCCAAAAAAAAACGACAAAAGATGAATTTATACAAACAGTTTATTTACAACACTCACATGTGGCATAATAAGACTGAAGGAAGACATTTACATTCTTTTTAAAAACACATTATGATTGTCACGTAGCTGACAAGAAGGCAGGAGTCTTATTTTGTACGTCTTTGCAGGATGTTTAGTCCAAAAACTCAGAGTTTTGAACAAAGTGAGAACGCTGCAGATTATCTGTGTGGACGATCTGGTTGGAGAGATGTTAGAAACAGGAGAAAGTTTTTGACAGACGTACAGGAAGTTCACAGATGGCTTTAGAAGATAAGGCTGCCCATATTATATACATTTCCTTTTTGGTACAAATCCCATCAAACAGCCAAAACAAACTTTGGTTCATTGTCTCTTTTTACTTTCCAGAAATAAACCAACATACATTTAGTCTGAGAACTTTTTTTGTAGTCAAACAAACAGGAGGAAACAGTGTGTTTGTTGGGGACTATTTTCAGCGGTGGATTAATCCACATTTGGTAATCAGTCTCACTCGTAAATTTCCACACACAAGTTTCCCATTTGATGAGATTTCCCTTCAGAACCAGAGCAGTCGTGTGGTTAGCAGCCGAAGTTGAGGAGATAAATGTGGAGGATGTGAAACCTGTGATCAGAATTCTGCTGCTTTCATTATGCTAATGTGTCTTAGCTCCTCCCACTGAGGATGTGAGAAACAGATGTGATGAAGAGTTTTGGATGCAGCTGTGTTTCTTTACTCTCAGCTCCTCTACAAGCCTCCCCGAGGTGCATTTAAAGTCCAGTTCAGACCAAAGATTTGTGATGTGATGAGTTGAAACAAACAGCTGCTGTCAACGCTCCGTTCTGTAACGTTGTAAAAACCTGCTGGTTGACAGGAAGTGACCGCCATGAGACGGTGTATCATCTCTATTCAACAACTCTCTGTACTCTGGTTCAGCTGAGTGTCAGGTGACACCATCAGCCGGTTTGAGTCGAGCTCAGACCGGCCAGTTCACACCGCTGTGTTTTCTCTGCAACACTCTAAAACCGTTTCATCTCGTTGTGAATCTTTGGTCTAAACTGGAAAATTCTCAATGATGACGAAGAAGAACAATTTCTGGGTCTTGGGAGGAGAGAGGAGACGAGGAAGCATCAGTGAGGATAAGTAAAAGCATCGTTAAATAAAGAAAAAAATCCCCTAAATAAAGGAACTTATGCAACAGTGTGACTCATTGATGTGATGTGGTTGGTTAAGTGTTAATATTGTTGACGGAATCTATGACGACAAATTTCCATCAACGACTTTTTTTCCATTTTAAGAACAAGAACCAACTGAGACAAAATCTTGGTTTCAAGACTGATGAAAATGTTGGCGGTGGACTTATCTTTAGATGCTGCATGAGTGACAGGCTGGTAAACTCCAGTAAATAGTCTGCACCAGGATGTTTCAGTAGCCACCAGGAACTTTTAGCTGCATTTCCCCCTGAGGCCGCCGTGCGCTATTCAACCATATCAGCAACCGGCCGCATATCATGGCAACGTTACAGGATGCCTTTTTTCGTTGGTTTCTGATGCCGCAAGTCACTGCCCAAGCGCCGGGTTTCGGCGACCTCGAAGTGAGACTGGACTCTTTACAATGTTTGAAATGGACATGTCTATTTTAAAACGTTGAGCCTTTGGTCTAATTCCATGTTTTCGGTATATAAACTAAGATTTACAGCAGAAAACAGGAAAAACAGTTTGTGTTCAGGACAAAATCTGTTTTGGTTTTATTGGTGTGAAAATGTATATTAATGTAATGCAGCACTTTGGTTTTTGTTCCCATTTTTCACAGGTTTAATTCAGTAGAAATATTTCTTCAGTCTTTGGTCACAAATCAGTTAACATCTGTGTCAGTGAGCACTTCTCTTTTTCAAAGGTCCATCCACCTGACAGGTGTGGCTGAGGAAACAGCATCATTACCACACAGGTGTACCACACTCTAAAATGTGACGTTCAGTGTTCGTTTGAAAACGAGACGATGACGAGCTAAAAATAGATCCTGATAATAAAAACTAAGACAAAATCTATGTTTGATTTTGGTTGATGAGACGGGATGTAAATGTTGGTGGTGGACTGTCGGACACTGACAGCTTGTAATGATCTTCAGATGCCTGATGAGCGACAGGCTGGTAAACTCCAGTAAATAGTCTGCACCAGGATGTTTGGGTTGGTGCGAGTTGTGAGCTGTAACTCAGCAGTAAATAATCAGCCGTGTGTGTCTGACTGTGGATGGTGGAGCTGCTGAATGGATTTGTGGAGTTTGTTAGTTGCAGTGGTGGCTGTTAGCAGCTAGCTCCGCTCGCAGCCTTCACAGCTTCACCCCGCAGGACTCCACTCAGTCCGGACTGGAGAAGGTTTGTGGGTTGATGGTGTTTGACAGGCAGGTAGGAGGCTCAGTTATCTGTGAGTGTAGCTGTGCTGTAAGTAAACAGTCTGAACTCAGATCAGTTTTCTCTGACAGAGATGAAAGTTTAGTTTGAATCACCAACTCTGTGAGAGGACACCAGTTTAAACCTCCAGACTAACATGTTGCACATGAAGAAACAAGTTATGTTTCTGCTTCTTAACAGTCACATGGATAAGTCAGAGTTTACAATGAACCTGGGGACAAATCCTAGACATCTAGGGTTATCTCTACGTCTTCATCAGTCCAGCTCTGTACCCTGGATATTATATTTGTGTATGACTGAATGTAACTGCTGTCTGCCTTATATTAAGAGACAACATTTCTCTGAGTTAATGAAACAGTTTGGCTCATCCAAGTCTTAATATCAGCCAAACAGGCCAGTAGAGGGGTTAGTGAGTCCTTACAATTTATATCTAGAGGGAGGTAAATCTGTATGTCATCTGCATAACAATGAAACAATATATTATGCATATGAAAAATGGAGCCCAGGGGTAGCATATACAAAGAGAATAGCAATGGGCCCAGAATAGACCCCTGAGGGACCCCACAAGTGAGAGGTGCAGCAGGAGAATTCTCCCAACTTCACAGAAAAACTTTCAGGACACAATCTTTTATTGTGTGTTTTTTATTGGTTTAATTGTTGTGATTAATGTACGGGTTTAACTGTTGTGTACTGGCCTTTTTAAATGTATTTTAATACGAATGTGTAATGTAGCATTTTTGTTTTTGCTCCCATTTTTCAGAGGTTTAAGTTAAAAATCTGTGACTTTTTTTGGTACTCAGTCGAAATAATTCTCTCAAATTCTGTCAGTGAGCACTTCTCTTTTTTGGATGGCACAAACTTTCCTCCAGCTGAATGAGGGCAGATCAGAAGTTGTCCTCTTTGCCCCCCCCCCCCCACCCCCGAGCAGCTCAGCAGCCTTTCCAACTCCCCATGTCAAAAGTCTTGGCGTGATATTTGACTCCGCCTTTAAATTTGAGAAACAGGTAAATCCATGCCATTTCCAAAATCAAGCCATTTCTCTCCCTCAGAGACCTGCAGACAGTCATCACGCTCTCATCTCCTCCCTTGTGATGACGGTAACTCTCTGTACACCAGCCTCCAGCTGGTTCAGAATGCTGCTGCCAGACGCCTCACAGGTACCCTCAGGACAGACCACATCACACCTGTGTTAGCCTCTCTCCACTGGCGAGACATACATCCTACATCTCAGACCTTCTAACCCCCTACTCCACGCCCAGGTCCCTCAGGTCAGCTGACGTGGGGCTCCTGGCTGTCCCACACTCCAGATGTAAGCTCAGGGGTGATTGTGCCTTTGCTGTGTCTGCCCCCAAATGCTGGAAGAGCCTCCCCCTCCCGATCAGATCTGCCCCCTCTGTTGAATAATCTAAGTCCCGGTTCCAAACCTACTTTCATTCATCAGTGTCTGAGTCCTCCTGATGTGGTCTTCCCTGATGCTGCCTGTGTGTGTTGTGTCTATAAATGTGTGAGCTGTGCATCTGACAGTTGTGTCGCCCCTATTTATGCGTTTTTAGGATTTTATTCCTTTTGTGCAGCACTTTGGTGACGTGAGTTGTTTTTAAATGTGCTTTATAAATACATTTGAGTTTTCTAAGACAATCCATCCAGCTCAAAGGTGCAGCTGAGGGAACAGCATCAGGGCTGGTCACAATAAAAAGGACACTAAAATGGGCACAACACAAGATATCGTAACTTTTGAGGAAGTGTGCCGTTAGCGTGCGCCACCAGATGCTCTGCATGTTTATTTACTGTGGTCAGTAATACGGTGGTCAAACGAGGCTGAACCTGACACCAACATCTACAGGTTCCTCTTAAAGTCAAGTCATAGTAAAATTTTGGTTTCACTGTGGTCAGAGACACAACTGGTGCTGTTATATTGCAGAAGTAAGTTTTCTCTTGCTACACAAGAATGAGGTGGAGTTGTTTATCACGGCCTTCAGTCAGCACAGGAGGAAGTGAGAAAGAAACAGAAACATCTGAGGTGTGTCAGAGCTGCAGCAGGATTTCACAACAGTGACAGGAAAACGAGCTTGTAGTTTGGACCATGAAAGTTAAATTTTACAAAAAATATTTCAG